AAGCTCGTATGACAATAAAAACAATGATAAATTATTAAATTAAGGCCATGTGTAACGAGCAATACGAAATTATTTTATTATTTAGAAGAAAATTCTTAATTTGACATAATAATTACACAAACGTTTCGAGCTCTACTTGCTCCTCTTCAGTGCGCAAAAAAATAATGATAATAAATACCCCTAATAAATAAATACATACATAAAGTTCTAATAAAAAATCCGCAATACATAGTCAATATAAGTTATATAGTTAAGTCATAGTTAAAACGCAAAATATATTTACAATGAATTGAAACCATTAAAATAGTTCAACAAAGTAAGAACCCAATTAGAAGCAGAATGATTCGTCCGGTTATTCATAAAATATTTTAGAATTATTAATAAAAACTCGGAGTGACACTTATACATTGCTCCAAACGAACCACTTATCGTTATTTGACGAAAGTCCCTCGATCTGGCAATGATTATGTCCATCCTCTCCAAATTATTTGATATTTGTTAACTGAATTTAGAGAATTTATTCAATTGTAAAATAGGATTCCACTAATGTGTATGTAAAAAAAGATTAAAAATTACAAATTAAACTAAATACTAAAATATTGAACCTTTATGCTTACAAATTGTTCCGAATAACTTGAGATGACGATGCTTCTAATTGTTGTTGGCCTTATTGTTAGTACTTGACTGTTGTCTAGTCTTTTAAAAAGTCGAATAAATAGGTGTCAGATCTCACAAAATAAACATTTACATAAGTCTAAAAATTCGATATTTCTTCTAGAATGTCGAAATACGCGTTGTTAAGCAATTCGGTGTCTGTGTTATTATTTATACCATGCCTTTGTTCCTTGATGTGTATCATTTCCGAGATAAGTCTTTTATAATAATTAGATTCAATATCAAGTATTTTAACGTTATCCCAATCAAAAGCATGTTTTTTATTTATAATATGTTCAGAGACCACAGAATGCTTGGAGGAATCAAATTTAATATTATTCATATGCTCTTTTAGTCTAGTGCGTAATTTTCTTTTGGTTTGCCCAACATACGAAGCTTCACAATCCTTACAATTAATTTTGTAGACAACATTATTATTATTGTTATGCACGTTTTTGTCCTTGTGGACTTTAATAAATTTGTTAAGATTATTTAGACAACGGTATCCTACTCTGAAATCTGATTTTTTTATTGTCGATGCTATTGTCTCAGAAATGTTATTAATGTATGGAATGACGAAAAATTTTTTCTTGCTATTATCTTCTGCAATTTCTTTTTTTCTATTGTTGTTAAACTGTCCATTGTTTAAAACTCTTATTCTCTTATTTATTTCTTTAAAGATCAAATGAATAGGGTAACCGTTGTCCAATAATATTTTAATACACAGTTCTAAATTTTTCTTATGATATATGGGATGAGATAATAACAATGCCCTATTAATAAGATTATAAATTACTCCTATTTTATGGCACATAGGGTGACTCGATAAAAAAGATAGTACTCTACCTGAACATGTCTTTTTTTGAAACCAATCTAAGTGTATGACGTTATTTATTATTTTAATGTTTAAATCTAGAAAATTTATGCTTCTATTAATTTCGTATTCAATCGTAAATTGTAGTCGTTGATTGTAACTATTAAACTTATTCAGTACACTATCAATTTTATTCTTTGGTGCCACCATAATAATGTCGTCTACATATCTATAATATATTCCAATACCAATGTCCAATTCATTAATTATTGATTCTTCAAGATCTTGCATAACAATATTAGCAATTATTGGCGACAACGGGGAACCCATAGGTGTGCCATAAACTTGCTTGTATACAATGTCATTGAATGTGAAGTATGTTGACGACAATATAAATTTAACCATGGAAATGAATTCATTTTTTGGAATTAATGTATGTGTATTGATATAATTCCATCTATTGCTCACACTTTCTATTGCAAGATCTATCGGAATGTTAGTAAATAGTGAAACCACGTCTAATGATATTAGAATATCTTCCGCACCAATTTTCCTACCCTCTAGCTTGCTGTAAAGTTCAAAACTATTATTTACATTACTTTTTCCCGTAGGAATACTATTTGAAATGATTTTATGTAAAAATGTGGCTATCGAGTAAAGCGTGGTATTAATCGATGACACAATTAATCTAAATGGAGTATTCTCCTTGTGTATTTTTGGGAGACCATAACATTTTGGAAGAAGGGAGTCGCTGGAACGTAGTGAGTAATATTCTTTATTAGAAATGTACTCTTTTTTTTGCCATTTCTTAAGAATATCGTTTAGTTCCTTTTCTATTTTGGAGGATGGGTTCTTTTTTATGATAGAATAGGTGTTATTATCTTCAAGTAAACCTTCCATCTTATTCGTGTAATATTCTTTTGTCATCGCGACTGTTACGTTGCCCTTATCAGCCCTTGTAAAAAGAATATCCGGATTATCATGGCAAAACCTCCTTGTATATCTATGCATACTAATCAAATCTTCATGAGTTGAATTAAACCTAGTTTTGCCGTGTAAAAAATAGGAAAGTTGTGGAACCAGATTGTTACGTAATGTATTTAAATTTTTCATGTTAGAACTAGTGGAATTCCCTTCTATATCTTTGATAAACTCGTGTATGGCCAACTTTTTGTCATTCTTAAACGGCAGGCCGAATTTACTTCCAAATTGTAATAGATTAGTGACATTGGTAGGAATTATTGTGTCAGTCAAATTAATAAACCATTTTTCGTTAGTACTGGTTAGAGGATTAATATGTTTGTCTTTGAATTTATTAGGATATATGACAATGTCTTTGTTTCTATTATTGTTTACTGAAATTGTTGATTGTGGAATGTCTATTTTGTTGATGGAATAACTAAGTTTAATCGGTTTGATATTTTTCAGATATTCGTCTTGTTTCTTTTTAATTAGCCAATTAAATTTGTTATTATGTTTGTTATGTAGTCTGTTATGAAACCTGTCAAATGAGATGAAATGATGTCTTAAAATTTCGTTCCATATGTGTACTGGCAGTTTGTTAGCCACATATCTTGAAATATTGTAAAGTTTACCATGTAATAAATTAATTAGTCTATATAAATCTCTAATTTCAATATTTAAAATTTGTTTTTTGAATCTGTACAGCAAGCTATCAAGCCTTTTTTTCGATCTAAAGTGATGTAAACAAAATTGATTCCTACAATACGACGTCAAGTGGTTAGGTAAGACATCAAAATTTTTACAATGTTTTAAAAAATTCAACTTTGATCTAGCTTTGATTGTTTGATAATTTAAATCAATCCATTGCTTTAACCTCCATGTTATTTCTCCCCCAAATGAATTAAATAATTTATTGGACAACGGTTACCCTATTCATTTGATCTTTAAAGAAATAAATAAGAGAATAAGAGTTTTAAACAATGGACAGTTTAACAACAATAGAAAAAAAGAAATTGCAGAAGATAATAGCAAGAAAAAATTTTTCGTCATTCCATACATTAATAACATTTCTGAGACAATAGCATCGACAATAAAAAAATCAGATTTCAGAGTAGGATACCGTTGTCTAAATAATCTTAACAAATTTATTAAAGTCCACAAGGACAAAAACGTGCATAACAATAATAATAATGTTGTCTACAAAATTAATTGTAAGGATTGTGAAGCTTCGTATGTTGGGCAAACCAAAAGAAAATTACGCACTAGACTAAAAGAGCATATGAATAATATTAAATTTGATTCCTCCAAGCATTCTGTGGTCTCTGAACATATTATAAATAAAAAACATGCTTTTGATTGGGATAACGTTAAAATACTTGATATTGAATCTAATTATTATAAAAGACTTATCTCGGAAATGATACACATCAAGGAACAAAGGCATGGTATAAATAATAACACAGACACCGAATTGCTTAACAACGCGTATTTCGACATTCTAGAAGAAATATCGAATTTTTAGACTTATGTAAATGTTTATTTTGTGAGATCTGACACCTATTTATTCGACTTTTTAAAAGACTAGACAACAGTCAAGTACTAACAATAAGGCCAACAACAATTAGAAGCATCGTCATCTCAAGTTATTCGGAACAATTTGTAAGCATAAAGGTTCAATATTTTAGTATTTAGTTTAATTTGTAATTTTTAATCTTTTTTTACATACACATTAGTGGAATCCTATTTTACAATTGAAGAAATTCTCTAAATTCAGTTAACAAATATCAAATAATTTGGAGAGGATGGACATAATCATTGCCAGATCGAGGGACTTTCGTCAAATAACGATAAGTGGTTCGTTTGGAGCAATGTATAAGTGTCACTCCGAGTTTTTATTAATAATTCTAAAATATTTTATGAATAACCGGACGAATCATTCTGCTTCTAATTGGGTTCTTACTTTGTTGAACTATTTTAATGGTTTCAATTCATTGTAAATATATTTTGCGTTTTAACTATGACTTAACTATATAACTTATATTGACTATGTATTGCGGATTTTTTATTAGAACTTTATGTATGTATTTATTTATTATGGGTATTTATTATCATTATTTTTTTGCGCACTGAAGAGGAGCAAGTAGAGCTCGAAACGTTTGTGTAATTATTATGTCAAATTAAGAATTTTCTTCTAAATAATAAAATAATTTCGTATTGCTCGTTACACATGGCCTTAATTTAATAATTTATCATTGTTTATATTATTTATATTATAAAATTAAAATATAGTTTTAAGGCTATAAATATTTTTTGCACAACACTGTACTGTATTCTTTAAAAAATACACAGTTTTTTTCTTGTCTATTATTTCTTTGCGATTATTAAAAAAGAATATGAGAATATATACGTGCGCACTCAACACACACATACATATATATATACATACATAAAGAATCTTCACAGTACGCATTTTTTTTCACACAATAAAAAACTTGGAACGAAATAAAACAATAAATTTTACAACAATTACTCAATATAAATCGCATCGCACATTGTATTCGACTTTTACCTGTTATGTCGTGACGCGATCATTTATACAACTAATTCATCACATACTTATGCAATACTGCGCACGCGTCCTTGCTTCTTTGCGTTCCGCACAGAGCATTCGCGACTTCCTCCGCGTGTGTTCCATCGTCGCTGAGATTACAGCTCAGATTATCGTCAATTTGTTTAACGAATGAGTTCTTTTCACAGTAACGTGTTTAACAAGGCTTTTGGTTTCTCTCTTCCTCTCTTTGTCAGGCATCTCTGAAAGCGACTGCAGTCTTTTAATGCGTATGCGTATATATACAGGGTGAGCCATTTTAATCAACGCGTAAATATCTCGTATAGTAAGCAAGATGGAAAAAATGTTTCGAACAAAAGTTTTTTGACTATGAGGGGAACATAAAATGGTGTTATTGATTTGACCTTGTATAATCACTTAAAGGTCACGTGAAGGTCACCTTCAATTTCTTAAATGGAACCTGTTATTTTTCATTACATATTCTTATAGCTTATCTAAAGAACTTTCCAAAATCCTATAATAAAGTGTTGTTTAATGAAGTACTTTTCAAATTATAAAAGTTTAAAGTTTACAATTTTTTAGTATAAAATGTAAAATATCTTGTAAAATTAACATGAATTTAATATTCGCTCGTGTATTGTTAAAACAATCAATATAGTCAAAGAGGCCAACATAACGAGCATTAAATAGAATGTTAAATTCTAAAATTTATTTGATATATTATACAAGCATTGATATATTATACAAGCACAAAAAGATTCATGAACCAGACATCAGACATGACACATTGTAACACGTGACATATTTCTAACATTATTAATTTTGATAGGATATTAATGTAATAGTAATAGCTGTTAAGATATGACTTGTATGGAATACTGAAGAAGACTGCGTGCAGTCGAAACGTCTAAATTTTTTTATGCATGATTCTGTAAATTTATGTTTTGTTGGATTCAATTGATATTTTTTTGTTTTAACAATGTTTGTATAATATATCAAATAAATTTTAGAATCTAACTTCTATTTAATGCTATAACTAAATCCTATTTAATGCTCGTTATGTTGGCTTCTTTGACTATATTGATTATCTTGTAAAATGTTTAGTTCAAATCAATGACACCATCTTATGTCTCCCTCATAGTCAAAAAACTTTTGTTTGAGACATTTTTTTTTCATCTCGCTTATTATACGAGATATTTATGTGCGTTGATTAAAATGACTCACCTTGTATATGCATCGCGGGACAGTCCTCGACAGGGCCGTCTTAACCGCGTGTGTAGAGTGTGCGTCGTTCACGGGCGGCAGGATGCAAGGGGCGGCAAATTTTGATTAATATTAAAATTTGTGGATAGACTAAAATATTTCCTATAAAAATATATAACATTTTTCAAACTCGAGTCAGAAACAAGACATCAAAACAGTAGAGTTATCTGTTGAAATTGGCTCAAACTAATATGGATGCGTTGCGTAGAGACGAAAAACAAAAGAATAATAAATAATAACAGAAGATATAGTTGACTGTAGTCGTCTGTAGATTGTTGAATATAGTAAGAGAAATGAAACGGCTTTCTTCAGATTTAGAGCAAAACAAAAAGTATATAAGTTTTCCATTTCGTTGATTAATTTAGTTATTCAGCGATTATCGCAAATATAGTTTTCATTAGTATTATTATTATAAAGTGTATTTGGTTTGAGCAATAACAATTTGTGATTCATTAACATTCAACGTTTCGAGCATTGCATTAAAGATAAAATTTTTGTTCTGTGAATTAAAGGTAAATATTGTATTTAAATGAAATATCTTTCAATTACTTAATATTGAAAATTACAACATAAGATAGATTTTATTTATTTATTATACCTAGATGTTAGATAATCAAAAGCGTTTATCTGGATTTGAATATCGTAAGAGAAGATTGGAGAAAGAAGAGTCAGTAAAAAAATGTACAACACTATTAGAAAGTTTTTAACACAAAAGGCTCCAACACAAGAACAAGAGAATTTATCGACAGAAGAACGTTCATCTGAGATCACTCAAGAAGCAATTTCTAATACTGAAAATGTTCTCTCTCTTGATAAAATTAACAATCAAGACTCAACAATTGACCAATCAATTAAAAGTACATCAGCAGGTTCATCATCAGCAGATCATTAAGAAGGTAATTTTAAGAGACATTGGTTTTTGGCCAGTTTATTTTAGATCAAATGAGACTCACTTTGTTAGAATTAGGTCCAATTTAGATAAAAAATATTTCAAGGTTGTTAAATTTAAATGACCAAACTAGCTATCAATGTAAGTTTTTGTTAAAAAAACAACGTTTCGACCTTGGAATTGGGTCCTCTTCAGGCTACAAAATTTTAAACCGTATAAATTAAAAATTTCATTATGTCGTTTCTAGACATATTATTGACATAAATCATGATATGGATTGGAATGACGTTAAAATTTTAGATTGTGAAAGCGATTATTACAAAAGGTTAATATCAGAAACAATACACATTAAACAACAAAAAAACAGTTTAAACCTTATAGACAATATTGATTTATTGAACAAGACATATTTCCCGATTTTAGACAACAAAATAAACAAAATATAAATAAATTTCACTTTTTTCTAAATAATATATAAAGCTTAAGAGAGAGATTCTACGCATATTCAGCCTACCAGTCGATAAAGAATAACACACTATAATAGAGATCGAGGCGAAAAATAAAAATATGTAAGTATTTGCAATTTAACAAATATTAATTATATCTAATAAAATCCGTATAAAAGTTTAACGGTATTGTTAACTGTTATTGTTAACATAGATTGAACATTAATTATTTTCGAGCACCGAAATTAATACGAAGAACATGGACATATTAATATACTATATTACATTTGCTAACAACACAACTATAGCTTTAAGATGAAATTTATAGACTGTTATTATATGTAATTGTATTGAATTCAGCGATTGAGAAATCACAAGTAAGTGACAAAACTATCACGAATTTATTGTAATTTTTATCTTTAAATACAGTAATTTTACATAATCAACTATATTTGCTCGTGTAAAAGCTTTTTTCTATTATATTAATGTAAAATTTCAAATATATATGGTATCAAGAGACACGGTAGTGTCTCCCGACCAGTAAGCGGCATTGCCGAATGTGAGACACAACGTATATCTTTACGCGAGTCGGACATTTGAGTCTATTATAAATTTCGAATGCTCAATAATGGCTGAAGTAATCGAGTTTGATTGAGTTCGAATTATATAATAAAAGTGTCTTTATTTCTGCTCTACGTGTTTTGTAAGCGGAAATATCATTATATGCTAACAATAAGTTTAAATATGAAAAATTTCTTTTATGAAATGTCCACGTCATTATCATCATCGTTCACGCATACATATACCTAGTAGTAGTAGTATATATATATATACATATATATATATATATACTACTGTATATAATATATATATATATATATATATCGTATATAAATAGTGACCCTCGTATATATATATATATATATATAAAAACAATAAAAATATATTCGCAGCTTATATATATATATATATATATATATATATATATATATATATATATATATATATACGAGGGTCACTATTTATATTTCGGGAATAGGAACAAAAACAAATAGTTAAGCTGCGAATATATTTTTATTGTTTTTCAAAGTACTCGCCACGATGATCGATACACTTTTGCATGCGCTTAAACCAATTTTCAAAACATTTATTCCATTCCGAATGAGGTATCTCCAAAACATGATTTTTGAACGCTTCAATAGCTTCTTCGGGCGATGAAAATCGTTGACCACGCAGTTTATTCTTCACGGATGGGAACAAAAAGAAATCATTGGGTGCCAAATCAGGGCTGTACGGCGGATGACCCATCAATTCGATGTTTTGAGTGCTCAAATAGTCTCTTGTTTGAGCCGATGTGTGAGAGCTCGCATTGTCATGATGAAGAACAATCCGACGTCTCTTGTTTGTTTTCCTTATTTCACCGAAGATTTCTGGCAAACAGATGGTTGTGTACCACTCAGAATTTACTGTTCTACGATCCTCTAGAGGCACTGTTGCAATATGACCAGTTTTTCCGAAGAAACAGGCCACCATTTTTTTGAAGTGCTTCGTGCGCGAACAACTTTTGTTGGATTTGGTTTATCTTGGAACACCCATACAGTCGACTGCTGCTTACTTTCGGGCTCATACGAATATATCCATGATTCGTCACCTGTCACGATTTTATAAACGTCTTTTGAAGCACCGCGATTGTATTTCTTAAGCATTTCTTTGCACCAATCGACACGAGCCTTTTTTTGAGCGATTGTCAAATTATGTGGGATCCAACGCGAACATAACTTTCGCACAGCTAAGTGTTCATGTGAAATCGCATATATGCTGGTGGAACTAATGCTTAGGGATGCCTCAATCTCACAATAGGTTACATGACGATCTTGCTTAATCATTTCGTGCACAGCATCGATGTTTTCTGGCACTACAGTCGATTTTGGACGACCTTCACGAAACTCGTCGGACAGCGAACTACGACCACGATTGAATTCACTATACCAGCGATACACAGTGGTTTTTGATGGAGCTTCATCGCCAAAAGTCAAATTAAGTTGATTGACGCACTCTTGTTGTGATAATCCACGTCGAAAGTCGTAAAAAATCATCGCACGAAAATGTTCACGATTCAGTTCCATTTTTGCCGAGACGAAACTTTCAACTAAATATAAAATAAACAAATAGCGTCCGTATGACAAAATGTTCTGAGTACGTATATCGTCAAAAATGTCAAACTTTACGATGGAACCGTCAGATGGACTCACATGACATCAGTGTTGCCAATTCCCGAAATATAAATAGTGACCCTCGTATATACACGTATACAACACATGCATATACGTACATCACACGTACACAACACATGCAATAGATGCATGTAGTGGTCTTGTCCTTCTCTCACGTTTCACAACAGATGGCATTAGTGCTCTGCGATCTTGACGTGCGGGGTTATGTACCCAATACACGTTAACGTGCGGGGTTATGTATTTGATTTGATTTCTTGATATGTGCACACATAACAGGTACGTGTGTTTTGATATTTATTTATAATTTTTTCATATAATATCTATTTTCTTGTTACGCAATCATCCTATTATTTTTCATAAGATTAACAATTATATTCTTATGAAAAATAATGGGATGATTGCGTAACAAGAAAATAGATTATAATATTATTATGAAAAAATATAGTTGTTATGTATGATGGATGGAAATTATATCGCGCGTCTTCATGAATATTCGCGGACGCGGCTTATCTACGTTAAACCCGAATTCTGCCGACAGAGGAATCGCGTTAGCGTGGGAACTCGAGGATCGGTGCGTTGGGAGAACAAGGAGTCGAACTTGTATGCTAGACCCGTTCGGAGCAATGATAACTCGCGACTCTTATTAACTGTAATAATATTCTGTATACTTATATTTCTTGTTAAATATATCTAAAGTAAAGACACAACAGTTGGCGACGAGGATGGGATATAATTTAATTAAAAAGTAAATAAGAGGCACGTGTGAAGCGCGAGTGTGAGATAACGTGGCCTTAGAGAACACGTGACACAGAACTTTCGAGAAGGGCGGTTTAGTTCAAGACAACAATGCCGTTAGAAGGAGATAGGAACCTGGGGACAGGATCTTCAGGAAATACAACCCCCGGACAGCTTATGAGTCAGGTAATGGGACAAACTACTGGTCGTAATACTATGAATGTGGATTTCTTCGATCCTAAGCAACAAATTTGAAGATGGCTGTAACGATTAGAAGGAGCTTTTCGTGTTTTTAAAATTCAAGGTGAGCAAGAGAAAATTGTCTATTTATTACATTTTCTTAGCGTAGAGGCATTCGAAGTTCTTTGCGATCGTTTAGATCACGGTCTTACATACAGGTCTGGAATCTTGCATAGTAGAGGTGTTGCAGCTATTGTGACCATTTTTAGTTGTTCTATCAGTCGATAGGGCTCGTTACAATTGGAGAGTGTTTGAAAAATGAAGACAGATAGCGATATTTTTTGTTTAAAAACGCTATCTGTCAATTTCTTTTTTTGAATTTTGAATTTCTTGATTAGATTATAATGCCAAATAATTCTTGCATCGTTCCAACGTGTAAAACAAATTATAAGAGTTGCAAAGTGAAATTATCAATATTAAATAAATAAATAAATAAATATATATATATATATATTATATGTAAATTATATTTACATATATTAATGTGTAAACATTTATTTTTACATTATAATGTAATTATTATTACACAATTATTTGTTTAAAATATAATTATATATATATATATATATATATATATATGTGTGTGTGTGTGTGTGTGTATGTATTTTTTAATTTATATATTAATAATATATATAATTATAATTATTTATTTATTATATTATATTATATAGTATACTATATATTATTATATTATTTATTATATTATTATGTTATTTATATTTGTATTATTTATTTTAAAACACAACAGAAAAAATTATCCTCGATATAATTTCTATGTATAGTTATCGAGATATTCGGCCTTTTATGTTTGAAGTTTAATGCCCTGTATATAAAGAACACTCTTTGATCTCAGCGCTTCAAACGGCTTTGCCGATAACCTCTAGTTTGCCTCATTAACAGCATCTACCCCCACCATTAAAAATCGTAATAGTTTCCAGACCTGTATGTAAGACCGTGGTTTGGATTCACAAGATCCGTATTTATTGTCTTACGATGTCTTACTTAATAAATTAAAAGAATATTACGCTCCGGAGTCGTTAGAAATTGCGGAAATTTTTGTTTTCTGGAAACGATCACAATTACCGGAAGAAACTGCTCAAGAGTATATGGCCGCGTTGCAAAAGTTGTCTTTATATTGCAAAGGACCAGGCTCGATTTAGCCGATTTTCGGCCCCCAATCGATTCAATTGATTTTCATTGGAATATCTCCTAGGGTCAGTAAGATATGAGAAAACATGATTTCCGATCGAAAAAATAACGTCACATGGAAGGGGGAGTGTCTAATGTACCAAAAGGTTGATATCAACAGTCTATAAAAATCGATGAATTTCGTCATTTAAGTTAATGTTGCACTACTAAGGTACCGATAATCAATACGACATGGTTTGTGCACAACTCTAGAATTATCATACGACTCATACAAGTGGATTTGATTTTGATACTGGCGTTTTCCCCCGCGATATAGAGCGCGATTTTTTATAGACTGTTGATATCAACATTTTGGTACATTAGACACTCCCCTTTCCATGTGACGTTATTTTTCGATCGGAAATCATGTTTTCTCATATCTTACTGAACCCTAGAACTTACCCTAGAAGATATTCCAATAAAAATCAATTGAATCGGTCGGGGGCCGAAAATCGGCCAAATCGAGTCTGGTCTTTTCTCCTTTACAAATTTTAAATGTCATTTTCAGCAATATACATGTTTAGGTAATCTATGGACGTCCGATGAATGTACACCGACCGGCAGGAATGGTGTTCGGCGTCAGATTTCAAATGTGTGTATCCGTGTATAACAGCCGAAAATCATATGCACACATACGTAGCGCGACATTGTATGTGTCGCTTGAAGCGCGGCAGAGATCAAGGAGCGAAGGAGAAAGT